GATGAGAAAAAACAAGGTGTCGGTTTGTCAACTAAACAGGCCACTTTATTTATAAATATCACTGCCATGGTACCAATGTGCATCTCACATACTCTGACTGACGCCCAATGAAAGCATGACACTAAATAACAATATAAGAACAGTCAGACATGTTTAAAGCCGTATCAAAAAGATGCAGTTGACAGAAATGTCGACCACAAACCAAAATGTTATCTTTATTTATTCACCTCACTGGTCATTTAAACTTAAATCATATTTCCCAGCGTGATGGGCTATATTAGGCGACTATTGTAGTTAGTGTTTCAAATACTTTTTGTTGGCCCAAAAAAGACTTGAATCGCCAAAAACACTAAGCAATTAAATGTTTTTAATTGTGAAAAATCTAATATAACATGCCAAACACTTTTAAAACATACCAATTTACCAACAAAACTATACATGGGGAAGTTCAGATACTAGCTAAGATGTCTCGTCATTAATATTAATTATTAATAATACATTATTTTCTTTTAAAATGTTTTTCAAAACTCGTAACCTAATTCAATAATGTATACTTCAATATCAAGTTTTTTTATTTTTTTATTATTTTTTAAAAGTACATAAGGTTGAAACTAAGGATTTGTATTATTCATTATTAATTTGTCTGCTAATTGGTTTTACATTTACAAATTATTATCTCAAATGTAAAGACGTACTGAAGATAAATTCATGCATTGTCCCATAATACAGTATACAGAAAAAAGCAACACATGTTGACAATAGGAAGGTGAACTGTTTTAAATTAAAAATGTACTGAATTGATTTATCTATCAACAAAGCAGTTGGGTTATTTGGTCGAATCAATAACAAACCAACATTTTCTCAGTTTCTAGTAACTAATAGGCTCTTTTATTGTTTTTGTTTTACCACAATAAAATGGAAAGTGATGTCCTGTCACTTACGTATCATCGTTTTGTTTTGAAATCAACATTTTACTGCAAATACATACATCCATCTTTAACATATAGGTTCTGAATTGACTCTGACACTATCCGCTGTTTGTTATCTGTGGCAGTAGACATCAGCGGCGGGGAAAGGGTAAAACAAATTGAGGGGGACAAGTGGAACAAACCTGAGTGTTTATTTGTTGCTGTGTGCTCGCCATGCTCTAAATTGGACGTCAGCGCTGTTTCTTGTCACCAGCAGAATCCAAATGTGTTGTGGGCAAAAGAGATACTTAAATTCGATTTACTCGCTCTAACATGATTTAAATGAGCCTCTTGGCTCGCCCGGACAGATTGACAGCGTCGTCTTTATCGCCGCTTTGTTTTATTTTTGGCTGTTTACTCTGCCTCTCTGCTGTCATCTCTCACGGCGACTTTAAAGGAGCCGGCTTCAATCTTCCAACATCTGGAGAGAATAAGCATCCTTTTATGTTCTAAGTGCTTTATGTGACAAATATGAAAAGGGATTCAAGAGAGTGCTGACACGTTTTCTGTCGCCTTGTTCCTCAGCTGCAAAGAGCTGCGCAGGGAGAAGTCAAACCTGCGATCTGATAACATAAGAACCCGAACAAAACTGAGCAAAGAGGTCAACCCCTCTCGTTCAGGGTCTTCCCGGGTCAAATTCATTAAATGCAACTTGATGTACAAACAAAACACTTTTTTTCTGAAGAATATAACCTGAATATTGTATCCACAGTAAGCCCTTAAGCTTTATTGTGTTTAATCCGTTTGACAAATACCTCATTGACTGCTGTTCATATTAATTAACTATGTCTTGTATTTGTCGCATATAGTCTACTGTAGCATGACCATTCTGAGGTGCAGCCATGTGATCAGAGACAACAACACTCCAGTATTTATGACTCTAACGCTGGCTTCAATGTTAATCACCATTGCTTACCAAGGAGATTTTAAACGCAGGACAAATGACCTTGACACATGTATTTGAATATTTCAAATGGTCCTTGAATCTATTTTCCACAAACACAACCAGGACATAAATGATATATCTATAGTGCTTGTGTTGACAATGATCTGAGAATACACAGATGCACAGATGATAAAGAAAATGTTTTGAATATACAATATTTTTGCACCCTCTTGCAGAGAGTTCGATAAGCACATTAACACCGGTCGGGGTCGGGAGGAAGTTAGCTTTAAAAAAATAGGTTGACAGCTTACCTGTTACCCAGATGTAGCTTCATATTTAATGGTGAAGTAAGATTGCTATCACGCTTCCTTATCCTAGCCTACTCTCTGCAAACTGATTTCACATATTTCCCAAAATGTCAAACTATTCATGTTAAATATGGAGTTGGAGGTGATTAGGCTAGCTTAGCATAGAGACTGGAAGCATTGGAAACAGGCAGTCTGGTAAATATATATAATTCAGTTCTGTTGTTGTATGGCTCAAATAAACACAATACGCTAATTTCCGAGCTTAAGGTGTTGGGAGTTGGATTTGTTATTTTATTAGGCCTACTCTGAAATGTTATGCTAGGTCAAGCTAATCGCTAAAGCTCCAGCTCAATACTGAACGCAAATTTAAAAAAACATAATAACACAAATATGTGAATTTTTGTACTTACAATTCCCTTTACTGAAGAAGAGAGTGAATCACCCAAGTTAAATCTTCCGTCTTTAGACTGAAGACTAAGTGACTGTTAAAAGTTTCATTTTAGCAGCATTTGGTGTAAGAACAATTAGTAGATAAATTGGTGATTGTGTTTTTTTACAACTTGAAGGGCTCCATTGAATTTTCGTTGCAGTGAGAAATCCCACATTGGCTTTAATGTCTTATATACAAGTCCTCAGGCGTCCTAGCTGCGATGGCAGATGTCGCAGCACTCCAGACAGAACTCGAGAAACTCGGTGGGCTCGCAGCAGGACTCGAACATCACCGAGTGGCAGTGGGCGTGGCAGTTCAGCTCCTCCACCGGCGCCTCCTGGATGGCCGAGCAGCAGCGGGCGCAGGCGTGGCAGCAGGAGGCGCAGAAGGTGTGCAGGCAGGAGGAGCAGGCCTCCAACAGACCCAGGATCAGCACTGAGCACTGGCACGACAAACACGCCAACAGCAGCTGTAAACAGGAGTCTGTGGCTGAGAGAAAATGAGACAGAGAACTGATTTACCTACAAATATCACATCTGAGGTCACGAGAGAGCTGCTGTGTGTTCTAAAAGCCTGTCAGACCCCATCAGAAACAGGGATTAACGACTCTATTAACCCTAAATTAATCTCTTGCATGTTTATTTGTCGTGCCAGCTACGACTTAAAAGAGAAACTACTCTGCTGCAGTGATCAAGTGTGATTGTGTTTACTTAATCACAGAGCTTCGTTCAGTCCTCGGGGGAAAATCAGAAAGGCCACGGAGGCTGCCAGTGATGAACAACAACGAGGAAGAAGCTGTCACAAGATAATTGCTCTCCCGCCCAAATTAGGTGCAGATGAAATTGCATATATTAACCCCACTGGTGTGTTGCGGTGCGTCTCTCGCGATCCTCACTGTTGTATTGTTACTCAGCTTCGGTTTTCATCCTCACAAGGACCAGAGAGTGAGTGAGCTCATGCAAATGGAGCTGTTTTATCCTGTTTACTCAAGGAAGTAAATGAAAAGCCGATGGCAGTATTCCCTGGGGAGTGGGGTTCAGCGTTTTCCTGCTTAGCCGCTCAAATTATCCACCCCCGCACATAACTTATGCTAATATCTATATATGTGTTTTCAGATGAAAAAGGAATAATGTGTGTGGATACTGTATTGATTTAATGCATAACTTCATAGAGATAACAACATGAACACAAGGATAAACAAGGAGTGGCCCACCGCACGCTTTGATACAACTGGAAGAAAGTGCAATAGTTTGAAAGTGTTCAAGGGAAACTTTTTACACCAAGATTGTCTTTAGAATCAGAATCAAGTTTATTGCCTGGTATGTTTACCCGTACAAGGAATTTGCTTTGGTGTCTGGTGGTGCTAACATAATCAATCTATGAAAATAAGTAGCAATAGTAGGTCAAAAATATAAAGATAATAAGTAAAAAATCTGCCCCTTCCTTCAGACTTCCTTACAGAGCCCCTCCTCCAACACACACGAACGTGCACATGACCAATGAGGGCACGAGATAAGTTTGTGCACGAGATGGAAGGCTGACAGGCAGGTAGGCCATCCAGTTATTTTAGCCGGGCCGGCTCAGATGATTGGTCGTGCTTTTTACAGCGCCACGGCTTCCACAGATGAACTTTTGATATTGTCAAAGCATTTAATGTATTCATTGCTATCGGGATGTTAAGAGCATTCCATGGAATATAATAAAAAGTGTTTCTGAAGTGAATTACCTACCCCACCTTTAATACAAATAAGTAATTTGAAGAAACTGTTTAGTATTAAAAGAGAATCAAGACAAGTATTTACACCAAATTAAAATGTAAATATAAGAACCTTAAAAGCTAAAAAACTAAAACACTTAGGACAATGAATATCTGACAATATACTGTATGGCAAACTACAGTGTATTGTATTTTAAAGTGGAGATCTGTGCAGACGTGTGCAAAAATGTGCAAAATATAGTCAGTCAATATTTAAAAACATACAAATCAATTCAATGCTTTACACAATTGTTGAAACCCTCTCATTGTTACACATTCTCTCATAAGGCTAGATGATGAATAGGTGAAATATGTTCTGTAATTGTATAAAAGTATATATAAAAGAAAGATAAGATGCAAGGCTTGTATTGCCATGTGTACATAGCTACAGTGTAGTTATGACAATCTTAGGTCACAGGCTCCTCCAACAGTGCAACACAATAACACAGATGATAGTGCAAGTAAATAAAATATAATAGAAAAAGTGCAGAATAGTCTATATACAAGTAATTGGAATATTGATATATGTAAGTTGCAAACAGATAAAGAACATAAATCGTGTGCACTGAGGTAATAAAAAGTATTTAGTTAATAGTGTTATCAAGATAAATGTGACAATGTATCTATTATCAATTTGTAGATCATCCAGTCCGATTAAAAACGGTAAGTAAATAAGGCACATTATTGCACTCACCAGCAGGAGTAGCAGTGGGGGGATGTGATCCTGCCCCCCCGCTCCTCCTGCTGCCCCCGCTGTGCACCGACCGGCCCTGCAGCCGGGAGGGGGGGGGCCGCCGGGGGTCTGTGGAGGAGCGGGGCAGCCGGTGGTCCGCGGCTGTGAGGCCACATCGTGGGCAGGTGGGCTTCTGGAAGTCACACTGAGGCCTCTTAAGCCCCGCCCCCTCCTGTGAGGCCTCGGCTCCTAGGGCTGCAGCGGGCTGAGGCTGGGCTGGGCACAGAGAGGGGACGTGGTCTGTCAACATCATCACAAAGCCAATTTCATCTGTGATCAATCTGGTCTTTAGTAGTAGAAACAGACTGGTAAGTTGTTATCAGTTTTTCAATGAACATCCTTGTTTTGCACCCATCACTTTCTCCAGGTGTTTTGGTAGAGTCAGTTTTTCCTCGCTGTATTGTTTGCTCTAGTCTACGGTCTCACAGTTTCCACTTACTGCGGATGAGGTCAGGGGGGGTGGTGTTTCCTCTGCTCACAGGGTCCCGTGCTGGAAGGGTTTCCTCCACTGATTTTAAAGACGCACTGCCTTGAGAATCATCAGAAGAAAGTCATGTTAGCTGCTAAGTTTTCAAAAGGTACTCCAATGACCACACCAACATAAAAAGGCTGTACATTTCAGAACAATTTGCTTTTATTGTCCCGGTAGTCATTTATTCAAATCACTACTTTATATAATATGTTCTGAGTAACCCTGCCTTCTCAACTTTAAATAATTAACTAAGATGGTTCTGTAATTCTTATATTGTGTTTCTTGGTTTTTAACACCCTGCCTAGTGGGATGTTTTTTCAGCGACACTGAAAAGTTTAAATATCTTTGGGATGAAAATGGTAAACTTTACAGATAAAGAGTAGCTCTGACTACAACACTATAAATAACATCTATTTTTTCTTAAGTTTAAGCAAAACAATAACTAGTGGAGCAAAAGTGTGCATGTTTAAAGAAAAATGCTTGTTTTAGAGCTTGTCAGAAGTACTTGCCTTTAGTTGGGTTGCTCTGCTCCTCCGTCCCGTCCTCAGGTACTTGGTCCCCAGATAACATATCTGATACTCATCCTGCTCTAATCTCTGTTTCCCTGTTTATAACCGTTCTCCCTGTGCATCGTCCTGCTTCTGTCAGCACCGTCCGGGAGGTCAGGAAACCTCCAACAACACCCAACATGCCGGCTGAGTCACCGCTCAGGAGACTGTGAGCTGTTCTCAATCTGTGTGTGTGTGTGTGTGTGTTTGTTTGTGTATTGTTGTTCAGGAACTTAATTACAATCCCTTTTCTCAGCCGATCCCTGAGTGTCCGCTCTGAGGTCTGTTGGTGTGACTCCAGGTTGCCTTCTCTGTTCTGCTTTTAGTCACCTAACACAATGGAGACACATACCCCATAAGTGTGTCAGCTGAAAACTGTATGTATGCAGGCCCACTCACCCTCTAATTCACACACACACACATACAAAACTATGCAAACAAGGATTGCTCTGTGAAATTATAATTCATGCTAAAAGTAATGGTTTATTATTCATTTTACCTTTATTCAAACATCTGGTCCAACCCACATGGCATAAGAAGATACAGCCTCATATTATAACTTGAAAATGTAAAGACATTTCTGGATTAAACATATCATGTACAAAACAAACAACCAAAAAAACCAAGTTATTAAATCATGTGATTCTCTTTACTTTCAAATGACATACTGTATGTGTATACATATTTTCAGAATAAGGACTATTAATGCACAGAAATGGACAGACTTGATTATTATATTTGAATTATCATTAAGATTATCATATCGTATCATAATGTGCACAATTAGCCTATCCTGGAATTATGCTAATTGACTTACAAATCCCCTAGGACAAGTAATGCTTTGCGTTGTATTAAAGGTCCCATGTCATGCTTTTCTGGTTATTACCCCTCCCCTTGTCTGCACATTTCCCCTCTGTGGGACTAATAAAGGTATTCTGATGAAGGTTTGTATGCATGTAAACGGTCTGCAGAGTCACAAACCCTCAAAGTACACCCTGTAGCGAGTAAAACTCTAACACAGAAAAGACCTGTCTATGCTGCCCCAGATCGCCTCGTTGGGGATTTCTCTTTTTCCATTGTTTACTTCTTGGGTATAGTGACGTATTTCGGGTATAGTGACGTAACGTAACGTAACGTAACGGCTCTGCAGATTGGTCCACATGGACCAATATGCGGAGCCGTTACGTTACGTCTACAGAGCCGTTACGTTTGGACCAATCCGCGGACTTCCTCACACACACACACTCGACGGGACGTTGCGAGGCTCGCTGCTGCGAGGAGCGGGACACTGTGAGCTGGCTCACTGGTGTGGGGGGTCGGCGAGGCAGCGAGACACCGCAGAACTCAGCCTGGGCACACACACAAACTCCCAGCCAGGCTGCGGGTGTGTGTGTGTTTGGGGCTGGGTTTCGATGTGTCTCGCTGTCTCACAGACGGCCACTGGGCTCACAGGGAGGGGGCGGGGGGCAGGAGCTCAAACAAGCCGTTTAGGACAGAGAGTGAATACACATACTATACAGAGATGCTGTATGAGAAACCAATGTGAGTTTGGAAAATTGCACAATATCCATGTATTTTAGGATACCTCAACAATGGAATTATGATCAGTAGAAATGGCCATGACATGGGACCTTTAAATATAATTGTTTGGCATAAAAAAAACATAATTTTAGGCTATTTTATGTCCTTCCTCAATATTTTGAGTTTCCATACTCTAATTATATAACTAATTAACTATGTTATAACTGATGCCATTGAGATGCTGTAAATATAAATATATTCTCATGTATCTACACCCCTATTATTTATTGTTAAGTACGCCGTGTGAGAGCACAGTATCAATCAATCATTCATTCTGAGCCATTCGTAAAGAAAATCCAACCATTAATATTATATATAATATTAATTAAATTAAAGTTGGTGACATAAAAAACATCTGTGTATGTAAAAACCTTGATTCCCACAGAGGAGGAGTTGATGAAGACAGGACAGCTGGTGACAGCATCATCATCATCATCATCATCACTGAGGAGGAGATGAACAGAGACCAGCCCTTTGTGAGCGCTGTTGACTAAGTGCTGTCAGAAGAGCTGCGCTGAGGAGATGTTGACTCTCCTCACCGTGAGTCTACGGCACATCAAAGCAACACATAAGTGAAGCTGTTGAAGTTGTCTCGCACCATGCTAACTTTCAGTCAGTGAACGCAGCGTGGAGAGGCAGTCAGAAGGAAATGTCATCTAATAGGCTGACAGCAAATCAAAGGGAGCCCTGAGAGAACAGCAAATTTAAAGACAACTCGTTATCAGCAAAGACAATTACTGACATTAGTCAAAACAAGGAGCTGAGCATCTGAGGCCTTTGTTCTGTCGTAACATCTTCCCTGCATGGAGGAGAAGAAGGTGTGATGCTTTGGTTTATTTTGTTATTATTATAGTATTTCAAATGATAAAAGTAAGGATAACCTAAAATATAATTTCAGTAATCATCAAAAGACAAACAACCATGAATTTAACAAAACAATGTTTATATGATAATGTTAATCATTTTGATTTGAAGCAGGTATTAGAATGTATGGCACTTTTAATTCATTTAATTCATAGATGTTTCTAAATCACAGGTAACTTTCATGTTTTCACGCTTACTACATAAACACGAATTGAATAATAATTGTTTGAAATAATATTCAAAGTTGTTTGTTGCAGCAATGTTGTGAAGGATTTGGATTGGACAGCATATTTACTGAATATAAATATATATTGTGAATTATCCTCATAGTTCAGTTTGACATAATCATTCACTACTTCTTGTTTTAATTAGCCAGACTGAAAAATATAACCCTGCTACTTCAATCCAAAAATATATACTTTTTGAAATGCATTTTTCATGTAAAATACCCTTTTACACTCCCACAGGTGTAAACATGCCATGTTAGAAAATGTATGGTATTAAAGTGTACTTGTGGGTAACAAAGCTAAACCGTGCAGGATATTTTAAGTTGGTCTTAATGTAAAGTTTTGACTCAAATGTGTTTTTTTCAACATCATTAATCTCACGTGAAACAATGATACCATTAACAGCTTTAATGACACGGTGACAAGTTTGGATATATTTATTACATAGTAATCAGACACTTTGTACATACAGTTACAGACAAACACATGTATATGAATACAGAGAGGTGTTTGTGCACAGCATCTAATGTAAACACTCAAAATGGTATAAAAGTGGAATGTTTGGCACAATCTTTATTCCATAAGTAGCATGTAGAGAAACAGGAAAACACACGAGACAAAAAGACTTTGGTCACTTTAAAAAAAAGTAACATTGATAAAACACCTTCAGCAGACTGATGAGACAACAGAGAGAAGCCACAGCACACACTGTGTTATCAAATATTTCACAAACAGAAAACCGTCACCAAAAAACATCCGTGTCTTCTCTCTTACTCACAGAGACCAAACATTAACTCTGTACATCATGTTATAACAAAAAGATCAGTGCTTTGACCGTTAGAATAAATCATTTACATGAAAGAGTTGGACCCTTAAAAATACATGATTTCTCCGACCCATCGGTTCCCAACTCTACTCCCAGTTTCTGACTGTACATTTTCTCTATATTCTCTATTTACGCTGATGCTTGTCATGATACACGTTATTGGCCATGTCTGAAAACAAAAAGATCATATTTTTTCCAATATGGATAGTCCAAATGAGACAGCTTTGGAACCACCCAATTCTACACCTTTAAATACATTACATCTCATTTTTAACTGTGATCATTTAAAGGTAGGGTAGGTAAGAACGGAGAAACCAGCTCGAGTGCGCTAGAATTTGAAAGTACGCAGACGAAAAAAATCTGCCCCTTCCTTCAGACTTCCTTACAGAGCCCCTCCTCCAACACACACGAATGCGCACATGACCAATGAGGGCACGAGATAAGTTTGTGCACAGATGGAAGGCTGACAGGCAGGTAGGCCATCCAGTTATTTTAGCCGGGCCGGCTCAGATGATTGGTCGTGCTTTTTACAGTACTACGGCTTCCACAGATGACATTTTTTAATGTATTTATTGTCAAAGCACTTAAGATATTCATTGCTATCGGGATGTTAAGAGCATTCCATGGAATATAACACAAAGTGTTTCTGAAGTGAACTACCTACCCCACCTTTAAGTGTTGATCTTATCTTTGAACTAATGGTTTAAAAAGTCCAACACGGAAAAAAGACGGCACTATAACTCACTTCCTTTTCTTTAGGGCTACAATGTCAGAGGTAAAAGTGGATAGCTGCAGATTTATCAATAAAAACAGAACATGTTTCATGTGTATGAATCGTGTATATCTGCCATATAATGGACCACATTTCAGAATATCTCTATTTCAAGGTGTATTTGATCAAATTGTTTTATTTTGCTGACAACTTCAGGCTGTCTGACACAACACACTGAAGGCTACCATGACGTAAAGATGGTATAATATGTAAACTGTGGTCTCCTCTGACTTCTGTACAAAGAAGTCTAACCTATTCTGCTTTGCAATCTGATTGTTTTGAAACCGTTCTCTGTCATTCAAGGTCAAACAAATGCTCTTCGTCGTCTTCAGTCGCGTCGTGCTGCAGACCGGCTGCATTAACTGCTGGCATCAGAGACTCTTCCTCGTTCAGATTCAGCGCTTCTTCTTTAAGGAAAAGAGACCTGCAGGAGGTAAAAAAACAAAGACATGTCAATCAATTATTGCAGCACATCAATCCCTTTTTTTTAGGTTTAACAGGTTATATAAAACTCACTGCTGGACTCTTGTAGAGAAGTTGTGTTTATTGTGGCTGTTTATTGTTTTGTTCTCATGTATTTCACTCCTGGAGTTTCTGCTGACACACTCCTTGAATCCTGGCAGTGAACCCTCAGCCAGGGACGTCTACAAAGAAGAATAAGAAATATTCAACCTCAACCCGATCAAACTCCTGTAAATCAGAATCTGTACGCTCACACATCCTCTCACCTGTAAGCTGCCATTCACGACGGTCCCATAATCAAGGTTGGAGGACGCATTTTTAATCAGCGATGGACTCCTGTGGAATAATAAAGGTAACATGTTTTATAATGGACACAATCCATGTCTAAATCCTGGCAAGCAGATCAATGCCTTGTGTATATTCAGTAAGACTCAACATTGGTAAACAGCGATAGTTTGAGGCATTTATGATGACAAATCATTCAGTCGCATAAACAATCAGGAAAGAGCGTTGAAACTGCCATCATTATAAAGAATTTGTCATTATTTGTTGAGGTTTATTATGGGAAAACAGGGTTAGGGTTAGCACACGGGACTTTACTGTCAATGTTGACCCTGATAGCAATGCAGTGTTGTCACAACGAAGGTCAATACTTAAAAAGTCTCAATTTCTGTTAATGACAAAAGGTCTAAAATATATTGTCTTCATTTTCTGCTTTTTATCTCAAAACAAAGGCCTTTTACAAGCATTGATTCACAGGATAAATACCCTACAGTTCAAGCTTGAGCTTATTTTAATTCAATCTTTGTAGTGATCCATGTTAAAACCCAGTAGAAGCAGAAGAAGAACATGTTATAGTTGAAGAGAAGAGAAAAAACCCTTGAGTTTTCTTCAAAAAATGTTTAAAATGTTCGTTCTGATGAATTTAGAAAATGTCTTAAATGTTTTTGTATTCTCATTGAAGTGTATGCAGGTGCCCTGAGGCCTGTGCTGTGATGAACAGGAAGTCACCCACCCTGTGATCTTCTGGGATCTCCTCCTCTGGTACTCCAGCTCGTCCACCGTCCACACGGCGCCTTTCACATTCTCCACACGCACAAAACACTTGTGCAGGCTCAGGTTGTGGCGCACCGCGTTCTGATCCAGAGAAAATCAGAGTGAAGCACATATTACTGAATACACGCTGCATAAATCAGGTATGACACACACTGGGAGTCAATTATCTCGGGGTGCGATACCTTCCAAGTGGCAGCGTTGCGTCTGAAATAAGCAAACATCCGCGTGAACCAGTTGTAAATCTCGTTCAGGGTCAGCTGCATGTCGGATGTTTCCATAATAGCCTGTAGATGGAGGGGAATACAAAAATAAAAATAAGGACAGGATCAAGTAACAAACCTCACTTCTTCAATTCTTATCCAAGAAAGGAGGAGACAGTCGCACACTCGCAAAGATACAGGCGTTTTATTTAATTATTGCTGAATCAACTGGCTTTACTTTTTTAGGATAAAAGACCAATAATCATCTAACTGACACAAAACAAGTGCAGTGTTGTTAATCAAGTTTATTTTCATTATCAATTAATCTGCCGAGCCTTTTCATGATAAATATACGACCCAGTCCAACATTAGATGTCAGAAATGTCAGAAAAAAGCACAAAGCTCAAGTCAAATTCCTATTTTTTCTGGTCAATAAGAGATATTAGTTAAATATAATTCGTTTTATATGATGGTCTACAATGAGAGCCAGACAATTATAATATTTTAGAAACTAATCCAAGGGGAATCTTGGCTTGAGAAGTAACTTAGTTGACATGATTATCAAAATGTTGCCAATTAATTTCAATTCGTAAAAACAGTTGATTCAAATGAATGAACTGACATGGCCATCAACATGAGAGAGGTTGTGCATCGAAAAAGCCTCTGATAGGGCAGATTTCACATCATAGGTACCATTGAATACAAAAAATCTGCATGCATCTATATTGCAAATTATACAATAAGTCTACAAATGTGATATATTTAATAGTACATTACATTACATGTCACTTGTTAGACGCTTTTATCCAAAGCGACTTACATACTCAATACTGTGGGCAATCCCCACATGAACAATTTGGGGTGAAGTGTCTTGCCCAGGGACACAACGACATGCTGACTGCAGTGGGGTTTGAACCTGTGACCCCCTGATCCGAACACCAACGCACAACCCACACCTAATATAATATATTACGTGTAAGTCACGTGTTTACATTGGTTAAAGTTAAGTAAAGAAAATATCACTTCTTTCTCCATTCATAAACGTTACAAACTGTACCTGTCTTATCAGTGTTGCATAGGTGAAAGGCGGTCTGATATCATTGTTCTTGTAGAGCTCATATTCATTTTCTGAAACAAGACAAATATTTTAAAGTGGAAAATGTGCTATAAAGTCTTTATTTCTGTATGAACACATTACTAGAGTATTTTGTTTACCTGAGGACAGGGAGTAGACCAAAGGGTGATGGCGAATTCTTATAGCCCCAGCACAGGACGTGTGATTGGTCAGATCTTCCTCACTCCCCTGGAATGAAGTACTGACAGGAGCCAGAGTTCGAGGGCACAACTGGGGGGGGTCCGAGGGGCTCAGCGAGGGCAGGTTGTCGCTGGCAGAAACTGAACTGAGCTGAGAGCGACACAAGCAGAAGATCCAAGTTAACAAAGGAAACAAGCGGAGTGGAAAGATTGACGGAGAAACAAAACAGAGCGGGAGATGTTCAGCTGAGTGTAACAGAGCGATTTGATGCGCCTCCTCAGAGGTGATTCCACTAATATCGCAAGAAGAAGGGAGACAATTATTGTTAATTATAGGGTGAAATTGTTTGGTGAGTGTTGTGATTATGGCACAATATTTGCAAGATTAACATCTGATTAGCTTTCACGTTATGAGAGCATGTCTGCTGTCTGAAAACACAAAGGCAGCCATCTGGTGCCAACAGCTGGGAGCCGAAGGAAAGGAAAGTAAAGGTGGAGATCTCAACAAAGGAAAAAGTCAATTGAGAGTTAACAACACGGGAGAAGAGGAAACTTTTAAAATAAAGGCATTTGTGATCTGATCTGGAATCATTTTTCTTAGGTTCAAATATTTCTGTCCTTCATCTGATGCGGATGAACCCTAAGCCATGTTTATTTGTTTCAAGGAAAATGCATACTTTTGCAACTCATCCAACTGTAAAAGTTCCCACGGTCAATTACAGGGTGGCGGTATCATATCAGTGCTACAAAAGATGAGGTTGCAGCCAAAAACACATGATTTATTCCAGTTCTCCACTACATATGTGGAGTTCTGTGTGCATTCAGTTTACGGCTCATTTACTCTGCCTCTGTTGTTCACACAGCCGATCTACCTGAAGGTGTGGGTGATTGGCCGTGTCAGATTGTGGCGACCAGCGACTCGGGGGTGCAGAGATCGACTGAGACTCTAAAGATGGCAGATGCAGGTGAGCCATCATCGCTCGCAGACGCTCCCGTTCTTTGCAGAGCTGTGAGAGCAAAATCAGAGTTGACGGTGTCGCTTCAAAATCACTGAACACAGGTTGTCAAAAATGGAACGCTGTGAACCAAACACATATCAAAAATATCATTTTCTCACTGTGTCAAACAACATCAGAGAGGTGGTGGTGTTGGGAGGACACTACATGAATATTTACCCGGAGCATCAAGGTGTTTGGGTGGTGGAATTTGGGGAAAACTCCTGTGTGTCAGACTTATATGTCTGCTATAAATATCAGATAACACAATTCTTAAATAATGAAAAACTAAACTGTATTACCCAGAATCAGAATCAGAATCAGAAATAGGTTTATTACCAGGTAGGTTTACACGTACAAGGAATTTGACTTGGTGTCGTGGTGCATAAAAACAAGAATTAAAAACACAGGTAGAGAACTAGAAAAATATTAAAAATAATACAAAATATAGTACAATATAGCAGTATTTATATTGCAATGGAATGGAATAGAAGGAATAAAATATGGAATAAAAATCAACAGTAATAATAATAATAAACACAGGTTTGCACAGCCACTAGCGCAGACAGTAGTTATAACATGTGCTGTAGTTGGACATTTTCACAGCACTCGTGCCTACCTGGAGCTCAAGTTGCTGCACCACCTGCATCTGGACTCTGCACTGCGCCGTACTCCTGTCATCCAGAGTGTGCTCCCTGCCTATGTGCCTGAAACACATTTGGGTGACGTTAAAGGAATATTCAACAACAAAGAATCACATTGCTCAGGATCATATACTCCAATTGCTCCGTCACAGAGATAACAGTTATTTTGAGCTACAATTTCTTCCAATGTATTTGGGAGAGAAACTTCCTCTGGATATAAAACACACCAGGAAAGAGAAAACCCCAAAAAGCACAACAGAGCCCCTTTAATATATAAGATAGTGAAGATTTGTTTGACGCATACTGAACAGAATCAACAGAAGAGAAATGGATTATGTTTGAGTGGTTTTAAGAAAGTTGAATGTTTTGATAATACACATTATGGTTTTGTGTTTTTACAAAATTGAATTACATTGTAGTACATTTGAATCCAAGCTGACTGCCATGTAAGCCTTCTCGTGTCCTGAAATAGGCATCAGTTTTTCAGAAAAATATATAAAAAAACACATTTTGAAATTATTTCTATAATCCCCAAATACTCTTCTGTAAATCAGAATAACAACATACTCTTTTCTGCACAATGAATACAATGTGTTCCCTGTTTGCCAAGTAGTAAATCTATTTATTTCTATCTAAATAATGGTTGTAGCCAGAAATGACTCTCTTTTAGTTTGATTGTGTAAAAAGGATTTATGGAAAATGGATTTATCCCTTTATGAAATGTTAATTCATAGCTCGGATTTGGACATAAATTGGATCTAATGACAAATCTGGGGATACTCAATTTCCAGAGCCACTTTTTAAGCCATTTGATCATTTGATACTGAATAGATTATTACTGAAATATTCCTTATATTTAACACAGAAAGGTGATATACGTTGGGAATGGATAAACTTACTTGATGAACTGGCTGACGTTTTCACACAGCGACTCACATCCAGGCCAGTTACACACCCCGTGCCCGTAGAGAGTGTGTGTGGCAGCGCGATCAGCTTTGACGGCACTGGATTAAAAGTATTATCATGATTAAAAACTACAGCAACAAAACATGTTTTCTTTGATTTTCAGGTGACAGAAAATGACAGAGAGAGGTTGAGGGGAGCACAGAAAAACAAATGGAAAACTATTTACTTTTGATTTTTGGGACACGTAGTCATGTAAACTTTTTCTTTGCTGAACCACTTCAGGTGGTGGAACACAAAGCAAACAAACAAGACCAAATAAATCGTCCCGTGGGGAATTAACAGTGAAGCTTTGCCGCGAAAGCAGAACAGCTCCTCACCCGTACCTCGAGAGAAAGAAAATGTCTACAGATGACGAGTGTTTGATGTTTAGAAAGAAGCGGTATCAGTTCTTAAAATCACTTCACAGCACAAAGAGAGAAATCCTACCATTCTGCGCTGCGAGGAGAAGCAGACTGCTGGTCACCGCTCGGCCTCCCGGTGACTTTAGCTGACATCATGTTGTAAGCAGAAGAGTCCTGATCGGCCTTTGATGTCATTTTATCTTCAGTTATTCCATGTGTGAGCTCTTTCCATATCTGCAGCATCTCTGCAGGGCTGAAACCTGCTAAAACATAAAAAAACATATTGGATATTTCTCCATTTGAGAGTTTTGTTTTCAATGTTGATTGAGGAAACAGAAAATTATTCCTTTTTACACCTTCCCTCTTTTTGTATCTCTGCCCCACATTAACACTGTTTCTACTGATTCCCATCTCAAAGCAGTTTGAGGGCAGAAACAGGTAGATCTGTACTGATTTTAACTCGTTTTCTTATGGTGCAAACATTTTTATTTTAAGCAACCAGTCATGCCAACATTAATTACACTGTAATCTGAGTTTTTTTTATTTGAACTGTATTGTCATACTATATCTTAGATATTTTATTTAAGTGTATTTGAAGTATACAAAGTATTATGTTCGTAACCTTTATTTAAATCAGGCTTTATAATTATTTGAGTGACCGAGATCATGTAAGTGTATTTCAAGTGTACTATGTATTAATTTATTGAGCTGTACTTAAATCAGGTTTTAAAATTGTTTGACTGATAGAGATCATGCAATGTTATTATTTGTTTATTGATTGTTATGAACCTGCCTGAGGACCACAGATGGAAATGAGCTATTAGCTATAATCTGGCATATTGCATCTCTTCTCTTTGCTGAGATTAATGTTTTTGTATGCATGGTCCTTCTATAAATAAATACAAATACAAAAAATCAACTCTTTCATGACCTCATGTAACCTCTTCGCTGTAATCTAGGAATAACTATAATTAATGCTAGAAAATGAGTCAAGATTAATCATCTTTTTGTAGGTTTCACTTACATCACTGTCTCTTTTGAGTTTAGTGCAGTTATGCAACTGATCGTAAAATCAACAAGAAACAGATCTGCCTGTGTGGAGCACTCACTTACAATATTTGATCAGATACGTGTCCATGTTAGTGTATTATTGTGCCCTTGTGAAATAAAACAACATACTATAGTAGTCTTATGTGCTATTTCAACCTTACATTTGCAGACATTCAACACTAAAAACACATTGACTGTACAGGAAATGTAATCATGCATTACGTCAAAGTAAAACAGCTGACATTTCCTTTATCTAACATGAAGTGGAATTCTTTGCCGAATGATTTAAAGGGCTGTAAGAAATGTTTTATGTTTAAGAAAATGTATAAAGAAAGCGTAATTAGACAGTATGAAGTTGACTATTGATTGTGTTCTGGTTTTATGTTTCAGTATTTGTAAGCAACTGTGACTGAGAGAATATTGCTTTTATTTTACTTTTTAATGGTTATTTCATTTTTTCCCCTTTTTTTTTTTGTAAGAAGAGGCAGGTAAAATATGATTTTCTTCTCCCTGCTCCTTTCCACCATGCACTATAAAATAAAAAAACAGTATAAGTGTACATGTTTTGTAAAGTGTACATGTTTTGTTTTAAAATAACTGCCATGTGTGAAATAAACAATTAAATCTGAGGGAGGTGAAGCATAGTGACCTGGGGGGAGGGCAGCGGAGGAGAGGACGGGTCTCTGCGCCCGGAGGATCTGCTGCTGCTGCTGGAGCTGGAGGAGCTGCTGGAACACAAGCTGCTGAGCAGGGAGCTGCAGGAGGAAGAGAGACATTTCAGAAAATAGTGAGGTAGTAGTTTCAAGTTTCAAGGCTTTTATTGTCATTTGTGCATAGCTACAGTGGAGTTATGACAATGGAAATCTTAGGTCACAGGCTCCTCCAACAGTGCAACACAATAAAACAGATAAAATAGTACAGGTAGATAAAATAAATTGAATATAATAGAAAGTGCAGAATAGTCTATATATAGTAGGCTAATTGGAATATTGATATGAGTTGCAAACAGATGAATGTTATGGATGTTCTTTCAAAAGTTCAGGTGTAGTATTCATTTGATAGTCTGCTCACACTTTCCCCTCTTTGATAATTGTCAGAGTATTAATTCTGGGCTAAAATCAGTGGCTTGTACTGCGTCTTTAAAAGCTTCCTTTAACAAATACCTCTACTTGTATTACATACAAATATTCCAAAATCCCAAAAGCAAGTGACAAAGCACACAAAAATGTTCTCCTAATTTGTACAATTAAATAAGATATTAAATGTTCATTATTTGTGTCACTTACAGGCTATGTACACCAGACATTTTTTAACACATTTTACAAATTCAATTGAAATTACAGAAGAGCTTTTGCGCCAAGATGGGTGTTATAATAACGTTGGTGCCAAACCAGTAAAACAAATAAATACATTAAAAATAAAAAACAGACCCCAAATAACAGCTCACCTCTTTCACCACTTTCTTGCTGGGCTTCTGTTGAAGCAGCTGCAGATGAATCTGTTGTTGCTTCTTGTAAAACTCCTTCAAATGTTGCTAGAGAAACAGTCAAGGAAAATGATTATAACCGAATATCATAACAAAATCCAAAAACAGTCAAATATAGCTGTGCTAAACTTTTTAATTACAAGTGACCAACAGTTAAACATATTTATGCATCCCTAGATCTTGATGTAAAACACATTTTTTATTTTGACAACGTACCACAATTTCCCTAATATTTGTTTTGTTGTTTAATTAACAACATTAAAGGTGGGGTAGGTAATTTTGGAGAAACCAGCTCGAGATCGCTAGAATTTGAAAATACACAGTCGGAAAAAATCTGCCACTTCCTTATAGAGCCCCTCCTCCAACACACACGAACGCGCACATGACCAATGAGGGCACGAGATAAGTTTGTGCACAGATGGAAGGCTGACAGGCAGGTAGGCCATCCAGTTATTTTAGCCGGGCCGGCTAAAATGATTGGTCGTGCTTTTTACAGTACTACGGCTTCCACAGATGACATTTTTTAATGGATTTTTTGTCAAAGCACTTAAGATATTCATTGCTATCGGGATGTTAAGAGCATTCCATGGAATATAACAAAAAGTGTATCTCGAGCCGGTTTCTCAAACTTACCTACCCCACCTTTAACAATGATCACTGAGTTAAATGCCAGTGGGTAAAGTGGTCGAACAGGCTAAATAGCTAAAATGATTGTCAACCAAAATACATATACATATAATCCAACGTATTTGTTATTTATTTTTGCCTCAGTGGGCCGTGTTTACTTTGATAGCTGTGCGGTAGCTTAGCGGCTATCTTGGAAGGCTGATGCTAGCTATGGTACCTAGCTAATGTAACAGTAACATTAGCAACTTACCTAAACTCAATAACTGAATTTTCTGAATTGTTTGAAATGTCTGCTCTAGCTTAACAAGACAATATGTTCTTAAAACATGTATTTGTTGTTGGGTAAGCTAGCTTATTTCCTAGAAAATGTGTATACCTACATTTACTTGGCTAACTGCTGCTGTTGTGCCTATATTAGCTTGCTGTTCAGCTGTTAAAACTTTTTACAGTAAACTATATTACTGTTTAAATTGTAATAATACAAATTATATTTAAGGACAACTTTGCTAAACTATAGCTCATCAACACACTAATAGGGCACTTTATATTGATTCCTTTAGTTATAATAATTTCAGCAATACATGTTTGTTTTTTAACAAATACTCAAATTGTATCCTGCACAGGTAGGCTATATTTCAGTAAGCCTGAATGCAATGTGTTATTATTAGAAGTAATAGTACCTGCTGTAGCAGAAGGGCCTGCTGCTTCTGGTGGATCAGAGCCTGCAGCTGGTTTGGGGACAGGAGCTGCTGCATCTGCTGAGGTGCCATCATCGCCAGAAACACCTTCAGGAAGAAGAGGATACAAAGATGATGAAGGAGGCAGGCAGAGTGAAGGCATGCGTACAAGTGAGTGAGACGGAGGCAAGTGTCAGGTGTTAAACAGTATTTTTTTCCCCCAATCCAATTACAAAACAGTGCTGTCAACCCTTTGTGAACATCATCATGCTGGATTGTGTCATTGACCCTAAATGAGATGGGAGATAGGCTGACCAGGTAATTAGCAACACAATTGCATGCTTGTTGTGACTCCTAATAGAAGTGTATGGGTATTAATAAAGGCAAACACTCACAGAATAATAACTGACCTGCACTGTGACTGATTGAGTGACAAATAACAGAGTGATCGTCCACCATTGTAGTCAAACAGAGGCAACAGCAATCCCCATGAATAAGAAACATCACTTACAAATTCAGAAATGAATTACAAATAATGCAAAAAAAAACGGTTATTCTGTCAATTGATTGTTAAGGGAAATATGTAATTTATTATTTGAACAATATTCTGTTTTTTCTAGAGATGTGAGGTGGTAGTCAATATAAAGATATGTGTAACAGCTGTTCCCTGATGTGCTTTGGTTTCAGTGAAGCCTTATGTTGGAGTAATATCTCAGCGGTTTGTACGATGTAATGAAAGAGGAACACATCAGGGACTACGGATTCATTTTTGTCATCAGTCCTTTGACGTAACCTCCTGTGTTTTGACTAGACTGATAAAAAAAACTAGAACGTTTCAAACAATATAGAAATTAAATGAAAAATAAACACATTGGCAAAGCAAATGTAATAATGTACATTGCATGATACACAAAAAAGTATTTTTTAAACATGAGGAAAACAGTACAGTGGCAATGGCTTTTCCAAAATGTACAAAACCAAAACAAATGTCAATTTGACAAAACAAACAAAACATCTAATTCATTAACATTACAGTATGTGCACCAGCCAATAAACCTTGTGTGTTAAATAAAAATCATCTCTTGCACCACCTAACTTACCATATTTCCTAACTTATGCATGTTTTTTTTCAATTCAGTTTAAGTGAGACAAAAAAAGCACATTTGTGATTTGCTGAAAAGGTATTGATCAAAAATTGTCATTTGATTGTTTGTCAAAATACTGAAAACTAATTAATTGTTAATATACAAAGAAAACAATTGCTACATGCAGCCGTAGATTTACACTTTCCTGAATATTTTTGTTCAGTAAGGCACTGACGAACAGCTGGCTCTATTATCATGCTTTACAAATTATTAGAAAACCATTCGTTGTGTGCAGATTGGATGCTGCAGTTAGAATAGAAATACATTACAGATGGATGTCTTCATTTTTTGTGAAAAGAGAGAACTGATATTCACTGTAAATAGCCTCAATTGGAAAAATGTTCAGAGTTTGGAGTTAGAAAAACTTCAATATCACACTCATTATCATGTTTAAATTCTTAAATCACACTCTGCAACAGTGGCATCATGACATTGTCATTGAAAATTACAAAAACATAACATGCTTAGAAATTCAGCCAGGGCTAGTAGAACCTTTACTAAGGAAAATGGCAGGTTTTTCTATTATTGTTTATTAAAATACTGTAGGGTCAAAAGTTGTGTGCCTTGTCCAGGTTTAGAAAGTGAATTAAGAGAAAAGAGCAGAGCAAAACTGACAAGACGTGAAAACAGACTGAAGGAAAAAGCGTTTAGCAGGCATTCATTATCCTGTTGTTTCATTGTTCCTCGTAGATTAAGATTCCCAAGGATGGAATCACAACAGACAACCATAAAATTACGTCGGGTCATGCCTATTTGCCGTTCACTTGCATCTGTTTGGCCTAGGTCTGTGGACAATCGCTCCTTCTCCCTGGCTCTGACTCACAAACTAATAATGAAGGACAAACAGAGTTCTGCGTGTCAACTCCCAGCCCGGATCACATGTCATATGAAATCTCTGCCACTGTCAACAGAGGCTCCAGGTACGCTGTCCTGTCAGAGGACGTCCAATATGGAGCAGGTATTACTCTTGACATCTGTTTGCCTAACAATGTTCTATTTCCCACTTATGAAGAGGAGGAAGAAGTGGAGGACGAGTGGGAGGTTGAGGAGTAGTAGGAGGATGAAGATACCTGTTTACGGTGGAGACTCTGCCAGTTTTCAGCGCTCACTCGACTGCAGGAGTCCCCATTAGCTGCTCTCTCTCCTGCACCGACGTGTGTGTGGCTGAGGAGACTGCTGGCTGCGGTTTGACGGGCTGCCGGGGGACTCAGAGGAGACTCAGGCATGCCAGCTCAGCTCCTGAAAGAAAACAGTCAACAGTAAATAAGCTGTGAGACACACACACTGTAAATACATTTCAACATCATCTCTAAATAACACTTATATGTGACCTTGTGTTAAAGACATGGGAAGAAGAAGAAGTGCCACAGAGGAAGGGGATGCTTTTTAGGAACATACAAAGAGAGAAAAATAAATTATTTTCAATACTTTAATAAACAAAGCAAGGCTTCACATATAATTAAACAATAGTGATGCAATTTACAATACTACGCTAGATTGAGGTTATAAATCTGTGATGTTTGAAATTAGTTGCATGTAAATGAAATCAGGAAAAAGACACTTATATTTCAGCATCTTTCATTCTTAATTTCTGGATATCAAATGCTTCTACACCTCATGCAAAAATAAGATTGGCATACCAACATACTGTAATGTAACGTACTAAAAGTTAACAAAAGGTTGCCTAAATTAAATATGAATTCAGTATACATACAAATGTTATTTGTCATAGATTATATTTACTTAATGTATATGTTTCCTTTGCAGGGCATGAGTAATGCTTGCATGAAGTCCAACGTACATTAATCATAACAAATCTTTGCGGTGCATGAGTGAGAAAGTATGAAAGATCCTTCAAATATATGCAAGAGAGCCATACAAAACAGCCCTAAATTGAGCACAAATATTAGTGTCACTTTAGTTTAAACTCCTAAAAACATACAAGCAGTAAAATCTCCTCAAAGCATTTTGATGTATTTTTCTGTCAGAATGATATCAAAGATACATACCGTTGATAGTGGAATTGAGAGCAGCCAGGCAGAGTTGATGTCTCCAAGTCTTGCAGTTTGGAGTGAGGATGGGAGAGAACTGATGGAGTTGTGTTTCTACCTGAGAGGGAGGAGTCACTGTCAGACAGGGAATTAGAAAAGTGAGAAAAGCACTTCATTACCAGGATGTGAAAAACAGGGAAATCAACTACATCTATAGATCATTTTTATGTTAGGCTTGATGGTAACATGCTTACGTGGTGACTGTCTCCATAAATTCTAATAATATATATCATTATTTTAAAAAGTCTACTTTGCCATGATATACAGTGTTTAGTGTAACATAATATACAGACAAAACATGAGGTGGTGATTGCCAGTTCCCTTCCTTTGCAGGAAAAAAATTGCTTTTCTGGTTGATATTCAAAGAGTCACACAATAATTAAAAAAAACAAAATGCCTCAAAACAAGCATCATTTATTGTCTTTCATGATTAAAACAGAGGGGCTTTGGGAAAAGACAAGTATAGTTGTCTGTGACTTTATTTAGATATAACAAAAACAGCTCTGCAGCTACACCGCTGTCAAACTGTTATCAAAGAGCTATTTACAGTAGTGTTGGCACTTCTTTTTTAATAGCATATTGGAACATCTGTTGAAAACAAAAAAAAGTGTTTAATTTTGGCTGTTGATAAATGCAGTGTACGCTGGAGTGTGAAAACACAGCCTGACTGAGAAAAAACTACTGAAATGACTCTCAACTTTGAACATTTCTGCACAGTCATGTCTTCATGTGTGGGTACACAGTATTTATTTTATGTTACCCTATAATGTTGTATTATCTTCTTTATTTCCTTTTTTTAAGCACACCACATGTTACACTCCTGCATTGGCTTCCTGTAATGTAAAGTAACAAAATAACAAAGAATGGTTTTCAGACTGCAATCACATGATGAAGGTATATGTAGAGGACCAAAGGTCAGGCTGCTATAGCATTAGGAAAAAGTATGCTTTGTGAGACGGTAAAGAACAAAGACCCTGAACATATTATTTTATATTTTTGCAGACAAGATTTTAAGAGTATCCCGCTTGCCATGGCATAACAATTTAAAAAACAAAAGCAGCACAGCTATGAATCTGCAAAACAATAATGTAGTATTGGTCAAAGATTCCTAATTTACACCATACACATGTGGATAAGCTGTACATTAGATATAACGCATGTATGAGTGACAGATGAGCAGAGAGACAGAATACATATTCTCTTTACAAAAGATGTCTTGTGGACTGAGCAATCAGTGATTCAATTGTAGATATTGTAAACCAAGGTAACTTTCTGCCACCTACTGGATTAATATTTACCTGCCCTGCATTTGTATTCAAAGTAAAAAGTAAATTTCCTATATTCAGACAGGAACAATCTTCCATGTAGTCTCCACTTAATTCTACATTTCATTAAAAATCGTTAAAGACAGTTTTGTGCATGAAATTAAATGAGGTTTTATGAACCGGCAGTTGTGATGGCCGGAGAAAGTTCACACTTGCCAGGAAACCTGAGCTCTTGCACTCGTGATGTCATTTGACTCTCCCAAAAGGGCAGTCTGTAGGTCAAAGGTTAACCCTGTTTGACCCTCATGCCTTCTCCCAGTTGTAGCCTTGTCACAGGATTAAGTTAGCCTCAATGGAATATCGCATCGTCTCATGAAACTGCAGGGTTGTTCCCTGCCTGCATTAAAGCGTGGTGGGGTAAAGTCCAAAGAACTCCTCCGGTAACTCCTTGCAGCTTTGTCACATCTCTTCCTCCTTCCAATGGCCTTCATGAATTGCCTCAAGATCCCCGGCTGGAAGTCTCTCATGTTAGCTTAGTTGACGCCCCGGAATAGCCGCGGGAAGTAGGGGTGCTGGGGATGCTGCAGCATCCCCTAGAATCTGGAGAATCACAGAACGACCGGTCGTCAAGGGCCGTCGCTCACGGCCGGCACCGCCCTTAAAGTGTTTTTAAACGGCATCATTGAAGTTGCGCTGACAGGCGACAGAGGTCCACCGTGTCCCCGCAGCGAGGCTACCCCCCCCCCCCCAATCGCAGTGTCACACTTTAAAAAAAGGCAGTCGTTCACCAACATTTTGTACTGGACACTATTCCTCCAGCCCTGACTCCAAAGGCAGGGGAGCTCCTACATTTCTCTGTTGATGGACGCCAGGTTGAGTTTCTGAGAAGACAGGTAGACTTTGGCAATCGGGGAGGGCTTTTAGAAGAGCTGCATGTCCTCAACGAGGGATACTATTAGGGGTTGCTATTGGTTGGGTTGGTGAAGATGTTTTCATAGCTACTGACACAGGGTTCCCGCGGGGTCATAAAACAGTCTTACATTTGATAATCAGAATGTAAGGCCTTAAAAAGTCTTAAATATGATCAAAAAATATGAAAGGTCTAAAATAAGATTTAGAAGGTCTTAAAAATGATTGGATTTAAAACGTACTTCTGTGTTGCGATCACGTCTAAATGTGTTTTTGGGGAAATGTCCGGCCTGCAAAGTAACCAGTACGGCCTTTCAGTTCCCCCCAACAATTTGTATTGAAATAAATCAACATGGAACCAGTAATCACTTTGTTTTCCCCGGCCCCTTATCAGAGAACACCCAGCTAGTAACCTAGCAACCAAGATTCAGCTAGCGGCGTCTTTATACAGCAGACGGCAGTCAGAAACTAAGGTAGGCTATCTTCGAATCTACTTACAAATAAATATGGGGAAGTGTAAGTTCAACCGTATTTGGTTGGAAAACATCGAATTTGGTGCTTGGTTGAAACCAGTCGAGGGGAACGTGTTTGAAGCCCGCTGCACCTTTTGCAAAAACATTTCCTTGTTGCAAATGTAGCGTTAGCTAGTGCAGCAGCTCCCGCAAGAACAAAGGTGGACCTCTGGGCGACGTTTGGGTTTGAATACATTTACTTTGTAAGTAATTATGGGACTTATTTCTCCTTTCATAGCAATTTTCCTTCATACTTTCTTGCCGTGAAATCGGTCTTAAATTATATTCAAAGTGGTCTTAAAAGTCTTACATTTGAGTTGGTGAAACCTGCAGGAACCCTGTGCAGGGCTCCCAGGGGTCTTAAAAAGTCTTACATTTGATAATCACAATTTAAGGCCTTAAAAGGTCTTAAATATGATCAACAAAATAAGAAAGGTCTTAAATATGATATAGAAGGTCTTAAAAATGATCGGATTTGAAAGGTACTTCTGTGTTGCGATCACGTCTAAATTTGTTTTGGGGGAAATGGAGTGGTGCAGTGAAGCGTCCTCCAGGAAGTGCGCCGGACTCTGATGAGAATATTCGTTGTGGCCAAACAGCGATACTACACTTCCATTAGGTTGCTGGGCCCGGAAACACTTTTTCCCATTGGGAAAGAGTGGTCTGTAAGTCGTTGGATAATTTTTTTTAAACTAAATAAACTACTCAGTATGAACGTTATTAAAAACATTCGGTCCTCAAGTTGTAAAATGTGCTAATAACGTTATTCTGAGAGTTATTTCCCTCGGCATTATGAACGCGCATCTAACCCACGGGACCGCGCCCCCCGGCACGTTCATGTTACGTGTTAAGTACTACATGCGTTTTACCTTTACCCATGGATGCACAATAAGAACGGACCCATATCGCCTTACCGTTCGGGTGTTCAGAGCAGAGCTCCCTGTTGGAGCGGCAGAGCGTGATGTGAACAGAAAAATGTTTCTGTCGCAATATTATTTAAAGAATCGTTGAGCTAGCTAACTAGCATACATTGTCACTATATGCTAACGTTAGCTTTAGCCTTCGTGTTCTAATAGTTTTGTTCATAGGCTATAAACAGAGGTGGTATAGATCTTGTACTTGATTAAAAGTAGAAGTACTCAGATCTTGTACTAGAGTAAAAGTAGAAGTACTCAGATCTTGTACTAGAGTAAAAGTAGAAGTACTCAGATCTGGTACTTTAGTAAAAGTAAAAGTACTCAGATATTGTACTTGAGTAAAAGTCGAAGTACTCAGATATTGTACTTGAGTAAAACAGAAGTACTCAGATATTGCACTTCAGTAGAAGTACTCAGATCTTGTACTTGAGTAAAAGTAGAAGTACTCAGATCTTGTACTTGAGTAAAAGTAGAAGTACTCAGATCTTGTACTAGAGTAAAAGTAGAAGTACCAGAGTGTAGGAATACTCTGTTACAGTAAAATTCCTGCATTCAAAATGTTCCTCAATTAA